TCTATCGGGTTGATCGTCGAAATGTGGAACGGAACTCGGAATCTGAGTCAATTAGTCAGTCAGTCAGTCAGTCAACCAGTCAAACTAACAAAGGCATGAAAACCCCTCCTGCCCCCCCTTCGCAGCCGTGAAATTAGCACTCCATTACATGCAACGCAACACGCCGGACACGACGACGGGATCCCGCGGCTCCATCATCTGCACGGCGTCCAACGCGGGCCTGTACCCATTCCCGCCGGCACCGCTGGTTAGTCCCCTGGCGTCTTTTATTCCCCCTTTTGGCATATCTCAGAGCCCTAAATTGCCTTCACGGGGGCATTTTCTGCTCCTGCTACTCCTGCGTGCTCCCGAAACCCCGAGTAATTCTTACTATAAAGTGGACATTGTTGACTCTAGTGTTATAACAGTACACGGCGTCGAAGCACGCCGTCGTCGGCCTCGTGCGCTCCCTCGGCCCCATCTACGGACGGCCGCAGATCGGTATCAGGATCAATGCGCTGGCGCCCGCTGTGCTGGGTACGTTTTCCTGCTCTTTTTCTCGCTGTATTTTTAAGAATGCTCAAAGAAGGGGGAAGGGGGAGAAAGATATGTTGGGTGGGCGCTCCAATGTTGTTTTCGGCATGGAACTAATGTGGTAAAACAACGAAACAGAAACGAACATAACCAGCGTAGACGGCCTCTTTGATAAAATGGTCATCACGCCGCCGAGCACCTTGATCGCGGGCGTGGAGAAGCTTATGAGCGATGTGTCGCTGAATGGCCAGGTCGCGGAGATTCATGGCCAGAACGTCACGTTGCGCCCGCCGCACGAAGTTGTCGATGCGGACTCGCGGCATAATCTAGAGGTGTTTTCCCGGTTCGGATACGGGCAGTAAGGCTCAAGGCTGGGGAGTGTGGACGAGAGGGCCGATACTGCATAGTTGACTAGGAGAGATGGAGATGGGTTGGGGGCGTTGCGTGACGCGAGGGCGGACTTGGATATTTGAGAGAGCTGGCGATGGTGGCGTGTTAAGTGCAATGCGAGTTCGCCTAGGTCCAAGCAGAAAGTAACATCACGCGCTCTTGCGCAAGGTGTCAGGTGTCGTTCATGAGAACGGACAGTTATCCTCATGCTCGGGCGAAGTGCAAATTGAACTTTTGGTTCGGATCCTATCTGGCTCACACTTTCTTTCCTTACATCTGTATCCACTATCTATAAGTTTGCGCGAATGCTTGCGTATGATGAGCTCCTTGAGACACAAGCCGTCATGGCGGTGCAGTCTGTTTCGCGCCCGGTGGCGCCTTGATAGCAACGCGGTGTTTGACAAGGCAACTGACTTCATGTATCAGTGTCAAAGATTCACCATCTACGGTTATATACGGCCAGAGCAAATTGTCACAGCTTTACCGCGCCATGGGGAAACCATCCGAATTCATAGCTGTTTTATCCATTGTACGACTCCTCGGGTCAGGGCCTAAGAGGTGTCATCCATAATGATGTAGAATTGTTTGCTCGTAGCAACGCGCTGCACGCGTCTATCTCTAAACCCAGTTTCGTCTATAGCTCCTCTATTGCTCGTCACTTCTCTGTCTTCCTTCCCTCCTTCCCCCCCTTTTTTTTTGTTGTGTTTCGTTTCTACGACTTCGCAATCCTGTCACTACCGTTTCCCCATCCTCTAGGGAAAGGGAGCGGTCACGAGAGAATGAAAGAGAAAAATTTGGCGCCCTAGGTCATTGATGCTTCTCTTCTTGCTCGATGGAGCTTCTGAATACCTGTAGCTGCCTCGTTGCTACCATCATTTCCCCCACATATGACTGCAGCGAAAATGCTCGGAGCAGTTCTCAGGACGCGTAGGAATTCAGCTGCGTCAATGCTGGCTACTTGTACGCCACTATGGAAATGTTCAACGTCTTAACAGAGGATTAGCGATCTCTAAATTGGACCCTGAAAAGCGCATAAATATGAATAGGTGTAGTGGCTTCTGGTGAAGTGTCATCCAGGTCCGAGTCAGTGACGGCTCGAGATGACGAAGCACCATCTGGTGGTGTAGCTGCACGTGTCATGATATTACCAGTTGGCATCACTGCAGCAATGCCACGGTTTAGGTGATACGAAGTCTGGCGAAGCCAAACAATTTTCGGCTCAATTCTCGTCTGGAACTAGTTAGCGGTCTCTTTCAGACAGGATATGTTGTGCAATAGCTTGTCTTACTGCTTGAATTCGTTCAGCGTATTCGATAATCTCACACGGTGGTTCCGACAGGCCGGATACGGCGCATTTATTGCATCGACGCCCGCGGCCGAAGCAACTTGCGATATCGTTGTATTCCTCACGGCACAATCTCCAGTCCACCGCATACGATGCAAGGAAGACAATTGCCTTTTTTTCCGCCAACGTTAGCGATGAAACGAACCCAGGCGTTGCTCCCAGCATTCTCAGCAGCAGATCTACGGCGTCACCTCGAATAGGACATGGGATGGCATTCATCGGTGGGTTGTCGAAGTTGAGGAATAGCACCTGAGATTCCGGAGCATCCGGATTTTGCTCCCTTGTTGACATAATAGCGATATTTGAAGTCGAGGGAAATGAGAGACTTTTATAACAAGATCTAGAAATGCTTATTGGGATTTTGGCCTGAAGTAAGCTCCGAAATCTGCTGATGGCGGTGGTTGAAATTCAGCAGCGGTAACAAGCGCAGGCGAGGAGGTGATTATTAAATTTGCTTTGAAGGCTGCCTTAGAAAATCCTCAGTTGCTCAGTCTTCAGATGATTCGGGTATCGCTGGGCTCCGTACACCGTAGAAAGAGATAGTAGCCATATTGCCTCTTCACCTCACATGTCTCAAAGATTTCCATTCTTCCACTAGGTTCTAAAGGTGAGATGGTTCCTTTCCGGGGTCTTCGGAACCGGTCGAAAAGCCCGCAGTTAGTCGGTCCACTCTCATAACCTCCCTTCCATGACTAGGTCGTAATAGACAAGCTCTCGCATCATCCGAGCTTCGCACAGGTGCTAAAGGCAACGTCCTAAATTTCGCAAATCAATGGCGTAGCTAACCGGTCTCGCGCGGTATCGAAGAAGTTCTGATCAGCTATCTAATACAGCTTCCTCGGGGTCGTATCTTATGAGTTGGTTGTCGTATATTATATGGGGGTAAGTTCTTTTGATATAGCAAATGTGTTCTCCTCTCTTCGATTCCGGTATCACTCATGTTTCCTATTAGAGGGGGGAGAGAGAGAAACCATACGTCACACTATTGCTTTCCAATATGCCAGTGCCTGCACCATTTCCATGGCTCCTTCTGGGCAGTAGCCTTTTGCTACCATCTTCATACGATATTAACGACCAAAATTACCGAATCTAGTCTGCTTAAGGATAGTGAGGTGTAGCTCAGTCGATTCTAACGGCCAAATGAAACCGATAAACTCTATGGTACACAATTGCAAACCCTAGGTAGTTGATCTTTCATAGTACAACAACTTGATGTGTTCCGCACTACATACGGTGTTCCACGCCAGAATTTGAACTCTGATAGATATCCCTACAACCTTGCTCAAAGTGAGAATACGGCTACGCTACATTTACTACATCTCTGCTTATTTATGTACGTCCTAAATTCTGAATCTGAATTGATCCAACACCTTTAGAACAAAGAGAACTAAAACAAAATTAAGTAGACATTTCTTCGCGTGACTGAACTATATGCGTATGTAATAAAGCAACCCGACCTGGAAATGTAGTACGGTGGCACGTAGTGCAAAGTAATTGTAGCGAATGCATAAATTCCTTCTATTCCGTCCTCTGTATGCTCCTAGTTACCTGACTTTCTGCTTCCCTTGTTCCATCAAATCAGTACCATGTTCCAACCCTGATGTTCTAGTGTGTATACGGTGGAAGTAAACCAGTGCATTCAAAGTGAGCTTCTGAACCAAGTTGTGATGCCTCGTCGAACGCCAGTCCGAGTTCTATTCCGTAAACCAAGTGAAGTGATTGTTGACTCCATACTTGTGGGAGCCCTGGTATGGCGCTGGCCTGCTGGCAAATTACAATAACGTTGTTTAGAGACTCCTTCCGAAGGAGCACCTATAACGACGGCGCGGATTGGAGAAACAAGCGTACACCAAGACAGCTTATAGAGTTGGATAGTACGAGAACCTGTCACGTACGACCATATCCACTGGAAAACTCGGGATCCCGTCTGCTCTCCCATCGATAAGCCAGTGAGAGCCAAATTAGTAGTTGGGTCGGTGACGACCAGCGAATCCTTGGTGTTGTACGTTGCGTTCCTTTTTTCCCTCTTTTTTCTTTTTTCTTTTCTTTTCTTCCAAGAGGAACCTTATGCGAGCTTCAGAGGCAGCGCAACATACCTTACCAACTTACTATGTATGATAGAGATTTAAGGCGCTGTGATATCACCGAAATCCACCCCCAGGAAGAAACACACGTTTAGGCCAACTTGGAGGCGATTGAATCGTTTCAACAAGACCGTCGCGCTCCCTCAGATCTGCGGTAGCTGTCATTACAGCTTACAACACTACTTGTGCTACCAATGTATCCCATGGTCAATCCATTAAGCGGTCGTTCCGTGAAAACGCGTCTCCTAGAAATTAAGGTGTGAAATGTGATTTCCAAGGCTTCTGAACGTTTCCTCTCCTAGGTATCTAGCGCAGAATACAACGCGCATAGACGCAGGTTGGTTCAAAAGAGGCCGGGGTACCCATCTAAAATAACCGTCTTACAAAAAACATAAAGCTGCTTGCTATATTCTGCCATAAACAACTCCATCGTCTCCCTCTCTCCTCAGCCCTAAAATGCCCCACTAACTTAACCTTGGCGGAGCTCGAAGAAGTAATATATTGCCTTGCTAGGCTGTCCTATCCAAACAATTTCGGGCGGGTTGGCCCCGGTATTACAGGTGCTAGGCACCCCACCCCCACCCCCATGCTACTTCTCCACCTATAACCCCAATATAGGCATTTTAACTCCGAACCTTCACCAATTGAGTTCTTAAACCCTCTGAGCAGTTCGGGTGGCCTAATGGCAAGGCATTGATTTCCGGTCCAAATGGATATGTCAAAGATTGCGGGTTCGAGTCCCGTCCTGAACGGTCTGAAAACTTACTTTTAGTGGTTCAAAGAATCTTTTTTGTTGTGTGCTCTTCTATCACCAAAGGCAAGCTCCATGTCAGAAAGCTTACTTTGTATGTTAATCTGTGTCTGAAGGAAAAAGAAAGGCTAATTACACAAGGCGCGGGTAGAGATTGCGGTTATAGGGCTAGTGGGTTGAAGCTAGAAATGCACAAGTCGCAATACCGTACCTAGTAGTTTTTTATAGCCTCAAAAGCATCTTGTATTATTTCCATCATTTATGCTCGGCTTGTGAGAGACAAGACCTTGCTTTCATGAAGAAATCTGTGGTCGCTGGCAAGCTTACTTGTACCGAAATTATATGCGCAACATGTCTCAGGCTCAAACAATAGACGACCCTGAGGAGAGTAAGCGAGCAGGGTAGGTAATACAGAGAACTAGATACATATCCAAAGCCTCTCTAGCGAGTGTGGTGTATTTGATATCCTTACACTTCGCGGCCGATGAAGCATCCAGTTAATTCAGCAACCCGTAACTTAGATGTCCCTACTGTGAAGAGGTATATTTTGCCAGTATTTATGCACAATGTAGCGCAGTATTCAATAGCGAACTTCGTGATACTATAGGTACATACGTATAGGGAGTTTGAGCGCATACCCGAGGATAGTGGTCGGGATTCGTCTTGAATTAAATGAAATGTGTGCACTACAGTAGTCTAAGTAATGGACAGCTGGTCCAGCTGTCCATTTGGTAATCCCTCGGCAATGGTTGGGGCTTTGGCACGTTTTCATCCAAGGTTGTTGATTAGTCGGCGGGTATAGAAGCAGTACAGTACACTAAGCCGAGATGAAACGGACATCTCCATGTCCGTACCTACCTAATCGCCAGCCCTTACCAGCCCTTGGCCCGGTGGATTGGGGTACCTACCTAGTACCTGGACAAGGGTGTATATTCCCGCCAGCCCTTGACAGTTGCATGCAGCCAGCAGATCTGACCGTCATTTCGTGTCATCTGGAAGGAAAAATTTCAACACTCGCCTGTACAACCTGGAATACATCATTCTGCCTCCTTTCCTCTGCAATGTCCCGTTCTTTTTCTCACCAATCCAGTGCAATTGAACGTCTCCCATGGCAATGCTGGTGATAAACCAGTCGCGATTCTTACAATTTGTACACTGAGCCTCCAAGTGCACCCATGACTCGCCCCAACGAGTAGACAGCATTGTGCCTATTTCTCCAAATTGGAAGACTGGATAATCGAGGTACCTACACGCGAACAATCCCGATCCCCTGGAAACGGTATCACTTCCTCCTATCCGGTTGGTGCAGAGGCGGCCAATGTAGGTGGGCTACGTGTGTAGTGCAGTGTAGTGTATAGTGCAAGTACTGCCCATGAGCCGATGATTGCTGGCCAGGGTCACCCAAAGTCCAGAACGATTTCAGGGCTTCCATTGGCTCATTGGATCGTTTCCCGAAATAGGGCGCATACGAAATGCCGGCAGTCTGATATCGGTCCCTGTCGTCGAAGGCAGCTCTGCTCAACCTGACGCACCAGCACCGCGAAGTTGCTGTGGTGTCAGGGAAGTAATGGCTCGTCTACGCACGACGCTACGAGGATGCGTCTTCCCTTTTATGTTGCTTTGTTCTGACTATCTGAATCATCATCTCGTCAGACAGGTTCCACATGTGTATTGTCGCCTATCAGCTCGCTTCGATACGAGTTGGGCTCCATGTTTACTATCTACGAGATAGGACTAAGTGGAGGGCGACTTTAGTCAGTGGGGGCTCATGCTGTGTTCCAAGGTATTTTTCGTCGCACCCTATCCCGCCTACCGTCTTGTGTGGCCCAACAGGAATAGGCGTTTTCAGAGCGTCTTTGATCCCGTCTCTCTGTTCGAGTTGGTCGATATGAGTACATGCATCGTGTTCCTAGTGTTGAATGCTCCCGATATTGTGATAGAAAATTTGTAGTTGCTGCACACTGTATGCTGTTCTCGGCGCAAAGGTTGGTGCTGTGGGAAAAAGGCCGCAGAGCTAATCGCGCCAAGCATGACGAGGTCGCGTAGTCCTTACGAGCGCAGTTCCCGGCAATCCCCGATCCCTGTAAATCAATGAGAAACCTGTCAGCCTTGTCTCCTTTGGGTAGGCTCGATCGCAGTTGAAGGAAAAAGTTTGTTCCAACATCCCCTGTGGAGGTCAGAAGGAAGTCTATAGTACTGTGTCGGCGCCGTGTGGCTTCCATTCAAGCCCACAGTTCAGCTTCACTTCCTCCAGCACGGTGCTGATACCAGCTGGTGGTCCATGCCCAGCCCCGGAACAACTCTTCGGTCGTTTTCCTGTAGCCCCATCAAACTTTTCTTCCTTTCTGCCGCACATCAGCAAGCTTCTTTTCTCCTACTTCAAGCTCCGATCTCTTCTTCCACCAGCTCGCTTACCCGTCCTCCATCCCACGCCACCTCTCCTCTCCATCACCAACCACACAGTCTCGCCCATCACAATGGCCTCCGCTCGCATTGTTGCCTCCCGCGCCTTTGCCTCTATGGGCACCAAGGTCGCTCGTCCCGCTGTCCGTGCGTCATTTGCCAGCACCGCTGCGAAGCGCACCATCACCAGTATGTGTTTGAGGAGATTCCAATTGGTCTTGGTCGAGCTCCCGGAATTGCCGATCGATTGCAATTGAAGAATTTGAGCTGAGCCCTAACGACGATTCCTTACAGGCAATGCTACTCCCCTGCAGGCTGCCAGACGTCAGCAAGTCTCCAAGATCCTGAGCACCACCACCCGCCAGGCTTTCCAGCGCCGTGCCTACTCTTCCGAGATTGCCCAGGCTATGGTTGAGGTTTCCAAGAACTTGGGTATGGGTTCCGCCGCCATTGGTCTGACTGGTGCTGGTATTGGTATCGGTCTCGTCTTCGCCGCTCTCCTGAATGGTGTTGCCCGCAACCCCGCTCTTCGTGGCCAGCTCTTCTCATACGCCATTCTGGGTTTCGCTTTCGTTGAAGCCATTGGTCTTTTCGATCTCATGGTTGCCCTCATGGCCAAGTTCGTACGTGTCTCCCCCACGACTCACCTTCAACTTCACTAGTCTTTGTACTGACTGTATATCAGACCTAAGCAAATTAATACCCACGATTATGGCGACCGGGATTCACACTACGGCCTGGAGTATGTGAATGACCAAACCGAGAGACCCATCCGGTGTGTTATTAGTGCGACGCTGCGTCAGTACGTCCCATGGGAAATCCACCATAGAGTAATAGACGGTTTTAGACTGGGGGGTGGTTATAGACCGGGGTATGAAACCGTCTACGTGAGGGGCTTCTTTCCGTAGCCTTCAGGCATGTGTGTAACGATGGAAGAGAGGAAAACATTGGCTGTCGCTAGGGTGTAGGCCACCCTGTCGCAGTGAGCAACCTGTAAAATACCACAACACAAACCATCTTCATCACTTAACTGGAAGCACTTTTCCCCCTTTGTTCTGAACAAAACAACGTTGGCATGGATTGGCGTTCGCATTGCAGATATGAATCTTGCTTCGTGCAGTTTGAAAAAAAACCTCTCTCTCCTCACCTAGTCAACTAGCAGCTGTGTAATGCCGAATTACCGCAGCCTCTCGCCCAGTAATTCTTGATTCAGTGCGTGACTTAGTGTTGTGCTCCATTTCAATGAGCGGTTTTCTGAACTGGCATAGTGTGATCTAATGCATTGGCGGACTGAACCGGCTTACTCGGGAGGGTCTTTCCCTGGACAAATCGACGACCTAGGTAACAGTCAGCCCGCCTTTGGCCCGCAAGTTTCTTCATAGCGCCAACTTCTTCCTCCACCCAGTGCCTCACTTTCCCTCCGCACCCTCCAATTAGCAGAGTCAATTGCTCTTGTGTGGATCTTAGTCCTCAGGGCTAACGATCAAGAATGCTCTGCATGGAGTAAAGGTGGGCTTGATGGCTTGGGGAAAAGAGGAACAAGATGAGATTAAATGCTTTGGCTGCCTAGCTACTTCAGGTAGTCGTTTGTCGTTGAGCGTTGCTCAGACCTGCTGCCCAACAAGCGTTGCCAATTACCCAAGCGGAGGATAACGGGATGGCAATAGTTCGAGGTTTGAACTCCAGCCTAGAGGTGGATCATTGATTAGGTGATCGTTGAGGTACAGCTGTATATCTAGCGTTGTGCCCCGTTTGATGTCCGCCACTCCTGGAGTCGTCCTGTCGACGCCTTGAACTCCACGAGCACTGTTCTCCAAGAACATCGATCGAGCTGACCGGAGTCTTGCCTGCCAGCGAGGCATAGATACATCCTCCTCAGCTTAACCATGTGCAAGGCAAAATGAGTCTTCGATATCCGATTTCTAATCCAGCAGGATTTCGATTTCTGCACCCACCTGTCAAAAACTGTGAACATCCAGCGAGGTGGTTGACCTAGCCCCAACCGGGACGGCCCCAAGGTTCTGTCGTGATTGGAAACAGGAGTGCCTGGAGAAATTGGGAAAAGATTCTGGATAATACATTACCTCCAATCGCCGACGACTAGGCAAACAACGCCGAGACTGCGTCATGAACTGACTCCAACGAGAATAATACCACTCCGCGACCCGGCCACAGTCGGAACGAATTATAACGAGACCAACCACCATCCCTATCCGAACACGCCGCCCGTGGCAAAGGTGTATGTCACAGACTGGGACGTCCGATACTCGAATATCACTGTCTAGTGTCCGACTGTTCGTGTTCGTCAAAGAAACCAGTTCGACTAGGTGAAGCGGTATTGACGAGAATTCGGCCAATTGATTTTCTCTTCAGGATCAAGGCACGCGTTGTTTTGATGCTCGTCAAATTAGATTCCATGATTCCGTCGGCAGCAGTGCGATTCCGTGGAGTTGGCCCTATTCTGGTTACGATGGCTCTCCCACGGGTACGAATGGATTCCCTCCTTATGCAAAACGAGCTGGCAACGGTGTTCCTGGGTCGGTAGGTAGGGGGCACAAGCTGCTGCCATGGTCGCAATGGTTTACCTAGAATGACTGG